TATTCATTTTGAACTTTTCAACACATTTTAATTATGTAAAAACACATAATGACAAATAAATCAATCCATTAATATCATATTAATTTTAATTTAATTTAACGATTGAACTTAGTGCTCTTGCAATTATTAACTTTAGTGACCTTCCTCTAACGCACCAGTGAAGTTCATCTCTTCCTCCTTTTTTTATTATCGTTCTTCTCTGTTATCCTAAGCATTGTTTGAGGAGTTTTACCGTTTTTAGGTTTGAGTGCACTAATCAAACTACGAAATTGTATAAGCTTTGAAAGCTAAGAAAGAAACCAAGTTGCATTAGATATTTATCAAAAATTGATTTTAGAACAATGATATTTACCGTGACACTACTCTCCTCTCCTTCCAACTTTACTTGTAAGGTCTTTTGAAAGATATTTATTTCCTTTCTTGAGTTTTGAGAGCTAATAAATTTATCATAGCCCCACTATAAAAAGTTTGTAGCATATTTCAAATTTTATCTTGAATGTTTTGATTTTGAGTCAACATTTGTGATGAGATAGACGCTGATAGTGTTAAACAATTGTTGTCTATATCTTAACATATGATAATTAGATTTTTTTTTTTTAAGACTCTGTAATTACCTGATTAAGATTTTGATATTTAACCCCAATATCTTTTGACTCGGAAAAGCTTCAAAGGATACAATATTTTTATAATTGATTAATTTTAACAAACTTTGATAAAAATATAAAAATATATATGTAGGTATAATTAACAAAAATAAAATTTAATGTAAAATTATTAATAGTATAAGAGTTAGTGTAACTTATACTAAGCTAAGTTAATTTATCTCTATCTTTCTCTTTGTTTATTTAGCTCTTTGTCATCTACTTTTAATAAAAAAAATGTAAAATGATTAATATAACATATATTTATATAATTTGATCCATTTAAAAGAAGTACTTATTCAAATTGAATCGTAACGCATATATCATAACTTTTGGTTTACATTATATTCTTCTAGGTTAACAAAAGGCCATTTGAAAGAAGAAAACTTCTATCATATAACTGATTTTAGATTTTTACCAAGTAACCTTTTCATATTTTCAAAAAAGGCATCAAAAGAAATCGTTATATATTTTTAGTTTGATAAAACTCATTGATGTATCATAAAAAAACATGGGACAAACACGGGGCAAGTTTAAAAAGCAAAATAGAGTTGAAGCCATAGATTGAATTCCACGCGTCTAAAACATTTGAGTTATTTAATATTTATTCGAGGGGATTAAGACAGACCAAAAACTGGCACTATGATATGCATGTAATGGCAACATAAACAGGGGAAACACTGAGAGTCACAGAGGGTGAAGCTTGTGTTGTGCATGGCTTTTAATGGCTTATCTTTCACATTTTCCTATTATTAAATGGATGAATCTTTCACCTCTGCACTCTTTTCTTTTACTTTATTTCTTATTTCAAAAGGATATTTTAGCGGCCAACAAAGCTAACGCGTGCACATATCTCGTTTGTGTGTCGACCACACCATGGACGTACATATGCAGTACACATCAAGCACAAAACTTATAGTGCAACCTTTTCACCATAAAATTATAAACCACGCACAGCACTATCAAATGTTCACTTTTCTTTTTTACAATCAATTTGCTTAACTTAATTTAGATTAATTAGTAGTGCTCAAAATGTAACATAGACTATCTTTCATAAAACTAACTAAAAGCTTATATCCTATAACTTTAACTTAATAAGTTGGTTGTTAAAAGCGAATAACTTGAAATTGAAAACATACAGTTTTATGAATTGTTTATTGAATTAGAGCTATTTAATAAAATTAGTTAAATTAAAGTAGTCAATTTTTAACTAATTTTACTGCATAATTTTAATTTTATAAGTTATTTATAAAATTGTAAGATTTTAGTTATAAGTTATAAGTTTTTAACTAATTTATCAACTATAAAAATTATAAAGGTTATAAGATTTTAGCTGATTTTATGAAACAAATACTTAGTATTCATGTAAAAAGAAATTATAAACTTATTCTACTTCTATAATAGTAGACCTATCATATAAACCTTTTATACACAAAGAGTTTTAAAAAGATACATAGTTACTATATTTTAAAATAATATTTATTGTTAAAAATCATAAAAAATATTTAGTAATTTTATATTTATTATGAAAAAAAAATATTTTTACTTATTCACAGATTATTTTTAATTTTTTTATGATTAAATATATTTTATTCTTTTTTACTAAATATAATTGTTTATATATATATATATATATATATCACCCTTTTAGAAAAATTAAAATAATTTTTTATATGAAATATCATCTTGATCATTACCTATAATTCTATTAAAAGAAATTGTTTATAAATTGAATTCATGAGTAGCAGAGGTACTCTGAAAAAAAAAAATAGAAGAATTTTGATGGATGAGGTCCAAAACAGCTGATGTTACAATTTTGTTGAGCCACATAACATGAATCTACATAATTACATTCTTATTGCTGGACGCTCTCCAGCTTCATCCATGGTGCCTTTGAGAATTATCTGCATAATTCCAACCCCCTGCACCCTTATCCTTCTCATCCATATTGTAAAAATATTTTTAAATAAGTTAATTTTAAAAGAGAATTTATTATTTAAATAGTTGTTGAAAGATTATGAAAATAATAATTTTTATTTTTATGTAAGTATTTTAAAACCTGTGCACGATATGATATTGTATGATTATAAATAAAAATAGAAAATAAGCTATTTTCCCAATCTAAATAAATCTTAACTGGAAATGCGAATCTACATATTTCATAAATCATATTCATAAAATAGTTTTGGCAATTAGGAGCGGGTCCCAAAAATGTTTGAGGGAATGGTCTAAAGTAAATAAATTTTGACTTAGAAAGTACAAATACGTACATAACACACTAACTCATAAGACATGACATAATTATAATAAATCATATAAAATTAACGCTTATAATTAACTCATACAATAAATAATTCATATTTTATGAAAATGCTATTACATAAATACATGTTTCGTATGAGTACAATAAGATAAGGATACTGTTTAAAAGCATTTGTATATATTTTCTTAAGTTAATTTTAAACATACAATTGTATCAATAACTGTAATATTATAGTTCTTTGGAAAAAAAATCTTTACATTTAAAGTATAATATATATATATATACACACGTGTGTGTAAAAGGAGGGAGGCGTCAGGACCACCCCTTCCCTTCCCTACATCTGTTCTTGACTGCTATTCATACATATAAAGGAAATAAACCATTTTGTTCATATGCTGTGAAAAGTTGTCTCCAATGTGATAACCTCCCACTATATGTTAGTAGGTGGTGTGATCACAGGTCAACCCAAAATAAATTACATTGGAGTGGATTGACCCATTTCATTGTAAAGGTTTTGCTTCACGCCAAGTTGTCATATATGATTATGGTCAATTAAACTAAAAATAGAAGGGTATTCCTTTCAAGGAAATTATATTTAGAATGTATTGAAAATCATGATAAAAGTGTATTAATAATATTTTTAATTTTTTTAACAAATATTTAACATTTGTCCAACTAAAATTGGCTTACTTAAAATGGAACTAAAATGTACGGGTTAACAAAGTAGACCTGCTAATTAATCACGTGGATCGCATCAGAACAATCTACCTAAACATATGAATCTTGTAAAACGCAACCAATTATTCATTTTAATGAGTTAAAAAAGTCAAATTAACTTATATATAGAAATTATACATGTTTATTTATCATCTCTATGGACTGAACTGTATTAATAACATGTAAAAACAATTTACAAAACAATGTTGTTTTATGTTAAAAGTTTTTAAACATAAACAAACTGATATAATCGAATACTCAAACCAAATGAAATTGGTTAGTAATTAATTAAATTATTAAACTAAATCCATATTATTTAAGATTGGTTCAGATGGGCATAATTGGATATTTGGTCAAATGAATACCATAATCACCCCTGGTTTGATTGTCCTGAGGGCCTACATGTGATGCACAGATATCCATACCCTACAGTGTTAGAGTTCAAATTAGTAATTAGAATGATTCTCGTAACTGTGATCTGTGGGAAGACCATACCAAATTTAATTAAGCATAAAGAGTATAATGGTTCACGTAGTTATCTTGTATTTTTGGGACTTAGACATTCTTGACCGGAAGGTCACCTAAAATATGATAATAGTTTGAACTTAGTACATATGACAAATATCTAGCAGAAGCACTAAGTTCACAAACAATCAGAAAGCTTCAGAAAGTTGTGAGACTTGTAATGTCGGGTTATGGTCTTTCTATGAGCAACATCTACTGAACTGCATGCTTTAGTGGGGTTATCTTAGGTCTACATTTTTAGCTTTTTTCTTAAGTCATCGGATAAGTATATCCTACTGCGGAATTCTCCATAATAAAAAGATAAGGGGCATGACTAGGGTGTTCAAGATTTGGATGATTTCTTCTATTTGTCTTCTAATTTTTAAATTAAAAAAAATTATTTCTTTGCAATAAGATCATTTTTTTCTCTTGATTAATTATTTAAATCTTTGCATTAAAGCAGTAATTTTATTTGCTATTAAGGACCGTTCTCCTTGTACGGAACGCTAGCTCGTGTTTGCATACGTGTTCCACTAAGGTCACTAATTCAGAACGTCCTACCAGTTCCAAATGAAGGTGTTGTGCATAAAAGATATGGGGGGTACTTGTTTCATTTCATTCTCTATAGTCATGACTTGGATATGAAGTTGGACATCCACTAATTTGATACTTCACATTTCAGCAACAGTGATTCATTTTATAACATGCTTTTTATTAATTGATCAAATTTTCATAAAATTCACGAATTTTCAATTCGATACTTTAGAATTGGATCTTCCAATTGTCTGGACTCATATGCCATAGTATAAATAGGGTCTCTCTCCAAATTGGGTTTCCCCAAGAGAATGAATTAAAAAATTCCTAGAAGAGACAAAATGGAATCAAGTCATGTAATAGCCATTACAAATGGAGAAGAGAATATTGCTCATAAGAAGGAGAATAAAGCACTTAAATTTCCCATTCCACCCTTTATTTCTCATATTAGGAAAAATGAAGTCCATTGCTCCACTGTCTCCATTACTTCCAATCTCAGATACAAGCAAATGAAAAGTGATCAAGGAACTAGGAAGATGATCCACAGTGTCAAAGTGGGAATCTCCCTGGTTTTGGTTTCACTCATGTACCTTGTGAATCCTCTCTTTGAACAAGTTGGAGAAAATGCAATGTGGGCTATCATGACTGTAATAGTCATCTTTGAATTCTCTGCAGGTACTTTCAGCAACATATACTTCGATTCCTTCTGTTCTTTTTCATTGCAAAGATATAGCAATAGCTTTGAAATAATGATCATTCTAATGTACACTTAATTAATTTGATCAACTTATTAGGTGCCACACTAGGAAAGGGCTTCAATCGTGGAATGGGAACTATTGTTGGAGGAGGATTGGGTTGCTTAGCAGCATTTTTCGCCCAAAGCACTGGAATTGGGAGGGTTGGTAACTCGATTATAATCGCTACTTCAGTATTTATCTTTGGTAAGCTTCTGATAAATCTCTTATAATTAGTTCTATTAGTATTAGAACATTATGTGTTACAGTTAAAGTATAACTAATTTGAAATGCATATCTTTAATAAACAGTTTTTGTGGCACATATAAATTAATTTCAGGATCACTTGCTACATATTTTAGACTGGTTCCAAGCATAAAGAAAAGATACGATTATGGGGTGATGATATTCATGCTTACTTTCAATCTAGTGGTGGTGTCTGGGGTGCGTGCTCATGTGAAAGTGTGGGAAATTGCCAGGGAGCGTCTTGTGACAATACTAATGGGTTTCATTGTGTGCATTTGTGTGAGTTTGTTCGTTTTTCCTTTGTGGGCCAGTGATGAACTTCATGATTCCATAGTCTCAAGATTCCAAGACCTTGCTAATACAATTGAAGGTATCTAAGTATATACGATCGTTTTAGTTTTTTTTCTTAGTTGGAATGAATAGAATAACATAGACTCAATTTATTTATTTCAAGTGAGTGTGAGGGAAATATTATTCAACACACTTTTAATTATTGTAAATTTTGTTTTAGGTGTATGTAACAAAAAAATGTTTTCTTTTTTACCGAATACATCATATACTAAATAATGTAAAATATATTTGTGAAAACTTACTTAATATACACCCACACAGGGAAAAGGATGAAAGATTGGTCTACACCTGTATAAGCCAGAAGTTTTCTGTACTATTCAGTAAGTTCTGAAAAGGATACCAAATTCAACGAAGAATTAGAAGTTTCTACATAAAACATATTTGTAAAACTATTTAGCATTTCATTTATGTGCATCAACATTAATAACATTATGTTTACATTTCAATTTCCAATAACATATTTTCATGCTCAAATTCAATTTTTGTTTACGAATGAATAGATGAAAATTAATATCAATGTGACAACGGAATAAATTGATACCTATGCCAAAAGGAAATTTAATTATCGTCTTTCACTGTAGCTTGTTTAGGGGAATGTACGAAATTAGTTGGCGAAAAGGAAGACCAATCCCTCAACGTTTGCAAGTCGGTGTTGAACTCCAAGTCAAAGGACGAATCATTGGTACGTCAATTTTCACTTTGATATCTTTCTCATTTGTCTTCTCCATTGTAGAAGATAAAGTATAAAAGAATAATCATTGATTAAGAAAATAACAGCTAAAATCTTAACTAAAATAATTTACATTTTAGAAAAGCCAAATTTCGAGTTAGAATGAAGCCATAACATAAGTGTAGAATCAAATATTGTTCTGTTTTTCAGGCAAATTTCGCAAAATGGGAACCGTGGCATGGAAAATTTGGATTTTCATACCCTTGGGGAAGGTACTTAAAGATTGGTGAGGTTCTTCGAGAACTGGCTGCGTTTATTCTTGCAGTGGGATGTCTCCAAACAGCAAAAGAGGTAGGTATATTTTATAGGGTTGCAAAATGAAAAGAAAAAAAAAAAATTGATGGGCTCATTTGTTTGGGTTCAATGAATCTTTTGGTCAGCCCATGGCCTATTTGAGGCAATCACAATCGGTGCAATTAGACACGTGCGTAGCAATTGAGTCAAAGGTTGCTGGTATTCTTCGAGAACTTGGAGAGAGCATGAAGCAAATGAGGAAATGTGAAGCAAAGTACAACATTTCGGCCCAATTGAAAGCAGTGAGATCAGATCTAAACTCGATAATTTCTACGTCCAAAATAGCACAACTTGAAGATGGTCAAGTGTTAGCAATTGCAAGCTCTGTGTTCTTGCTCATGGAAGTGGTGAGGAAGGTTGAGGAATTGGTAAAAGAGGTGGAAGAACTTGCAGATGTCGCTGGTTTTTCCACCCACACTACTCCAATGTCTTCGTAGACCCTATATACATACAATTATGTATGTATAAATCATTTCCCAATTTTGGGTCATAAATTAGAAATATGTGGTTGAGTGTATATCCATTTCAAGTTATTGACATATGATGCAATTTAACTGCCTTTGTATTAGTGATGATGAAAAAAATAGTGAAAACTTTAAAAGGAAGAGATGTTGTATGCATGTTTATCTAATACGTCTCATTCATCAGTGTGAATTTAATGCCATCACTATTTTACTTTATAAACCCATGAATTCTCATTTCATATTATAAACCTTAGATATTTGCACCTAAGTATTTTTCTATGATGAACCCTCCTTTGTATTGAACAAGTAAATTGAGTTTGATTGACAAACCTGTCCGTTCAACACAACAGATTCAAATGGCCGGCAACAAAGTACAGCATTGTCCTCCACTTGAAACCTCCGCTACGCTCCTTGTCATATCATAAATCACAAATTCATATAATTCAATTAGTTGCCACTCTATTTGATGGTCATTAATTTTTAAATAATAAGATACAAAAACAGTTCTGTTAATTTGAAGAGTGATAACAGCTTTTTATCATTCGTATACAAAGAAAATTTAGACTTGATCTATGAATAGAGTTGTAGTTATTTAAAACTTTTGACTAAGTTTTATTAAATATTAATTTTGAGCTGTGATACTCTTTCTTTTATTTGGTCGACCAATCTCAGCCGTCCGCCGATGAAGTTTATCTTGTAGCATTGCCTAAAACTTTCTCCAAGTGCCATGAGAAATCGTGGAAGAGCAAAGCCATTAAATTTTCAGCGTGATGAACAGCAACACGACTTGGTAAAATTATACACAAAAAATCATTACAACCAAAAACCAGTGTTGGTTTAGGTAATGTATGTCTGATTTTCCTTAAATAAAGTGTCAATTCAAATTTAATATATAAAACATTAAGAGTTAATCTCGTGTTGAAGAATCCTGTAATCCTAGACATAATAGAATCCTTACAAGTAACAAAAAAACAAAAGCATGTATTAAACGTTGGGACATTAACATAGATGTAGACATGTAGTATTTTAATAAACCAACGGATCCATTAAGGGACTCTCACATAGGAGAAAAAGTCTAAAGGTAACAAAACAAAGGCAGTGTGCTAGAATTCAATCAAAGATAAAAAGATGGGCATTCCTACAAAATGTGTAGCAATTGCGATTGGTTTGTTGTGCCTTTGGAGTGTTGCTGACAGCGTTCCCAACACAAGCATCACCAACGTTCTCTGCAACAACGGGGTGTACACCTCTGGGGACCCTTTTGCTATTAGTTTAAGCTATGTTCTTGGAGACTTAGAGAGTGAAACTCCAGTCCAGAAAAATTATGACTACTACAACATTTCGCCTTATCCTAATGCCTTTGCCTATGGACATGCTACTTGCAACCTTAATCTGACATCCTCTGATTGCAAAACCTGTCTTGGTGCTGCTAAAACGGCTATGTTCAATGCATGTCAGACACCACGGATCGGGGCTCGTTCAGTGCTCCATGATTGTACAATCAGGTATGAGCAATACCCATTTGATGATTAGTAACAAAAATTGAAGCTTTGGGTGTTCAACTTTCCATTGGCGTTGGTTTTCAAGTTTACATTTGAAAGGCTTTGTATCACCTCGAAGAAAAAAAGTAAGGATTCTGTATGACGACCAAAAAAAAGGGATTTTGCAAGTTTGTTTTTGTAACGCGCAATATGTATACTATATGCTGTTATTGTGCCTTAACTACGTCAAAATGCTTTGTGTTTTATTTCTGTAATCTGATTTTCATTTTAAAATAAATCTAGCTTTGGGTGATGATTCTTCTACATGTTTACTTCCCCCTTTTTTTTATATGGTACAGAACGTGGGTGTTCGAATTTAGATCATGCCTCTTCATTTCGGTATATTGATCAGTTTATTGATTTTAAAACTTCACAAGGGGAAAAGGTGATCTTGGGAAAAAGATTTAAGATGCCTCGTTTGCCTGGATTTATTTTTGGAACTGAAACTATATAGTTTAACATAACCAATCTGAATGCCTATAAAGCATAACGATCCCACCCCCCACCCCCCTCCCAAAAAAAAAAACGATAATATACGAAATGTTGTTAAATAAAGGTAATGCTGAGTATAGTTCACGCAAAGTAAACAATGTCGATTTCAAGAACATTAATTGTCGATAACGTATATGATTCGTGAGTATTCAAAGGAGCTTGAAAATACAAATACATCTTGGAAGTTGAAACCAGATTCCATGTATGAATCGATGATAGAGCCTTGATGATCTTCTAGATCACCGCCTTAGTTAAACATGTATTAATACCATGCATATGAATTATTCCAGGGCTTTTGTAAATGAAAACTTGATCAAACCAAAAAACAAAAACAAAAAAAAGAAAGAAAGAAAACAATCTCTTTTATATACAATGTACAACCAGCATCATCATGGGCTCAGTATATCTCCCACTACATTTTTGAAGACCAACATATGTGAAATTTACAACCAAAAAAAAATGTATGCCTTCTGATCCATCAAGTTTGAATCTCAGTGATTATTTTTTACCTTTTCCTACAAGCTATCCCCAAAATTCACCATCCAAAATTAAGTTTCCATGCAGATATGTTCACCTACAATGGCAGACCACTACAAAGAGGGTCAAGCAATCATTTTGCAGGAAATTAAAACAGTTTAATTTCTTTGGTTGCTATGAATAAAATTCTGTAACATATGGCAAACTAACAATTAGTTAGATTCACCAACTAGTGAGACTAACCACAAAGATGCCAGATTCAACTCGCAACTTTACCTCATTCACCAGTGGTAGAGAAGAGGCAGCATAGCTATGGTTGGTAAAGATTTGTATAACTTAGAACGTTCTCTGCAAACTGTGTAGACCTATTATAGCGGAACTTGAGAAACTTCTGTAGTATTCCGCTCGTAAAGCTCCTCCCGTTTAAGAAGAAGTGCATAAAGAATCTCATTCCATGAATCAGGAACACCAGGTAGGCACCAATGGCTACAGTCTTGCCGCTGCATAGGGGCTGCGCCATCTGGTCCAAGATAGTAAATAGATGCATGGCCATCTTTTCTGCGCAATGACATTTGGGTGATATTAAGCAGGTCCAAATTCAAGACTTCTGATTTAGTCGTGCGTTCTGACAAGACATCAAAGATGGTTCTGAAGTGGATGTCAGATAATGCTGGCAAGGAGCCTAAATCAGGTAGTGTTTCCATGTGACAACCACCACCAGTATTCCAGTTACCACCCCTGCTACATCCACCAAATGTGTTACAACTCATTCTTACCTTCTTTCATATGTTAGCAGTCATTTAATCATTACAGATACAGAAAAAGTCGTTACAAAAAGGTTTTGACAGTTTGTTCGAAAAAGGAAACATACAGAAATTAATGGTAAAACCAGATTAGCTAGACATGAACCAAACCTGAAATGGACAGGAGCATAAGTTCGGAAAAGGACATAAGTTTTGTTCATGTTAACTTCACTGGCAATCCAATCAATTACTGTCTCTACTGATTTTCTGAATGCCTCTTCTGTAGTCATGTTCATCTTCACTTCCTCTCCTACTTGGAAGTAACAACCCCTAAGTAATGAATTGAACCCAAGATCAAAGTCCATATAATAACAACCTCAATATTGATTGCTTAACCACATAAAGAGTACACATATTGTTATTAACAAAGTAATTTAGTCTATGCCCAAGCTTTTTTATAGCATGGAGATAAACAGAGAATAAATAATCACAAATATCTGAATATAAAACCTTACTACAAAACATTTGTACCAAAAGAGAACCCACTCCCTTTATAAAAGCTTTCATTTTGCAATGAAAATAGTTGCCAGTAAATATACAAAATAAACGAGTATATCTCAGCCTGTATATAAATCCATTCCTTCTTCTTGCTAAAAATTGGTCCGGCTCTTGCAGTGGTCTATGCTAAGACTGAAGAGGAAATAATATCGATCTATCACAAGAGATTCTCAGTCACCATGTTTGACAAATATTTTTTTCAAGAAAATATTTTTTTTTAAAGATCTCCGGGAAGCTACCAAAAACAATGCAATTATTTCCCACAAATAAACTAGTTCAAATATGCACTAGAAAACTTATTTCATTTGCATAAACCATATCAATATCACATGGTTAGTGCCTTCTTTCAAATGTCCTTGTTAAAAAGCCAAAACTAGGTGGCACTCAAAGATTGAATTATTAAGAATAACAATCCAGCCCATCAGAATAACAGATAAAAAAAAAGTCCTTACATTTTGACAGTTTTCTCGTAATTCCACCAATGTCCAGCATTGAGAACCAATACATCTGCATCTCTCCAGCGATGAGAAGTCCAGTCTATATGATCCACTCTTAAACTCATTTTTACCCCTTCAGGTGCTCCAGGAGGAGGCCGTCCTTGCACTACTAGATATGGTGATCTGTAGTATTCAATGATGCAGTTGAAATCTTCAAACTTGAATGCCAAGAAGCCTGTGTGCTTTGTAATTGGGCTCCCATTAACCTCATAGACACTAGTCTTGTTTGCAACTGCAGAAGAGAGCATACAAAGGAGCGATTCCCACTGGTTCCTTCCAATCGAATCACCAACAAAAACTAGCCGCTTGTTCCGCAGCTTTTCCAACATCTTATTTGCATCAAATCTGTTACAAGAGTAAAAGCCCCACATCACATGTCATTCCCACAACCGACCTAAAAGAACAACTAAACATAGTATTGTATGCACAAGCAAGATGCTCCCTAAGACAACTAAACATAGTATCCATTTAAGAGCAGGAAACACCAAAACAGCTTGCCCCCAAATCAAAAATGGTTTTTTTCCCCTTCCTTTTGAAAGAAGAAAAATAGACACTCAGAGTGGTTGTTGATCTTGAGCCATACGCCAAATTTATGGATAAGCAGGTAATGACAAATGAAACTAGCAACGCTTGACAGTGACAATTTAGGTATCATCATCACCAGTAAAAAACCAATAACAGAAGCGCCCTTCATACCAACATCTTTATTTTTCTCTATTCAACAATCCAAAAAAGAACAAACACTCCCTTCATACCAATCCATACGAAGTACCCCCACTGTTAATCACAAGTTAAACGAAAAGGGTACTCCATCAAAATAAATTGATTTAGGGGCACATATAAAACACACATCAACATATGAAAGGCGATCCCATAAGCAACCAACTACAAGCAAGACAAAATTTTAAAACCATTTTGTGCTCAGAGAAACAACACAAACCCCAATACCCAACGAAAGAAGACTCTTTTTTTTTGTCTTAATTTTTTTTTCCCCAGCACTATCTTCTACCAACCAAACCAAAATCAAAACGCTAACACCAAAACAACAAATCAAACCAAAAAATCGAAAAGATGGGGTTGATGGGCACCTGGGCAAGTTGCAACCTTTGGGTTGCCATCGCCACTTTGTGTAGAAGGTATCAGGCCTCCCATTCTCAGAGCATCGAAAACCTTGATCCAAGAAGGAACAATTTGAGGAATGGTAAAGGGGATATGCTTCATCCCAAACCCAATTCCCATCAAACACATCACATTTATCACCATCTTGACTCAGAAACTGAACCGGGACATTCCCAACGACAGGAGAGGCAGAAGCAGACACAGAAGAAGAAGACGAAGATGATGAAGAAAAATGCAAGCCAAGGAGAGTGGTGCCTCTAGAGCGCAACCCTTCGTAATCCAAGTAGAAGAAGCAACCAATGAAGAGAGCAGCAACGAAGAAGAAGCCAACGATGCCCAGAGAAGACTCGAGAGGGCTAAAGCGCTTAAATTTCTTGAAAAAATCGAAGTGGGTAACGGCGTCGTTTGAGTCCTTCGGAGCTGCGCTCTTGCTCATCTCGTTGGTTAGGAACAAAACAATGAAACATAAAAACTCATTCAATCATTCGTGGATGCTGAACTGAAAGTAGTAGTAGCATTAGTCCAAGGTGAAGGTTTAAAAGAGGTGGGGCTGTGACAAACAGAGGATGAGGAAGAGAGAGAGGTGGGGTCCAGAGCCAAAAAAAAGAGCATTAATGGCAGAGAAGCAAAGCACTGTGCATTTTTCTTTTTATTTTTTAATTTCTTTTAGCAGGTAACAGGTAGAAAACAAGAAAATGAAAGGGAAGATGAAAGAGAAAGTGTGTATGAGTGGAGGGTGTGGAACAATGAGTTTAAAAGGTTATTTTTTTAAGGTAGTGATTGGAAGGTTTTGGAGAGGGGTTTGGGGATAGCCACCAACAGTGAGGATTGCTATTTTCCTTATATTTTGGGGAAAGGGCGGCAATTTGTTTATCTGCAATAATCATGCTATCTATTAGACGTGCAACCATTTCATTATCCTCTCTTCTAATCTCAAATTTGACCCCCTTCAACTTAACTCTTAAAAAAAGGAAGTCTAAATATACATTTTTATTTTATCAAAGATTCATTTTAACTGATTGTAAACTCTATTAATAAAAGTTAATAAAAATTGTATTTTTTTTAACATTATCATATCAGTTTGCTTAATAATATAAAGAATCTAAATCTAAACATAAGTACTCCAAAATATATTACACCTATTTTGAGAGCTGAGTTAACAAAATTTGAAGAGTCAAAATGATTTTAAAAAATAAAATGAAGTAAATTTTCAAGAAAAAAAAATTAATCAAACGTCTTTATTGTACAGAGCAGTCTAAACATATGTTTTATATAATCTCTTCTTAAATGATTAAGGGAGTTCGTTCCCTAAATCGAAATAGCATCTGAATGTTAGCTTGCATGCTACCTCCACTTTCGAGTTGTATTAAGGTTAATGTTGATGTGCCCGGTAAGTTACTGATTGGATTTAGACTCAATTGGGGTAAGTTTTTGGATAAAGTTTTATTGGAGAAAAAAATAATATAGAAAATAATAAAAATTTTGTCATAAATTAAAGTAAATTGTATTCCTATGTTTTAGAAAAGTTAAATAATAAAGTTTTAAAAAATAAAAGTTAATTTAATTTATAAAAAAATTTCATATTTAATTTTTATAAATACTTATTCATAAATTTATCCAATTAAATGTTATTCTCATCAATGTTGATAAGTAACATAGTTTTTAGATTTAATAATCGCATAGAATAGTTTATGAGCAGTATATGAAAACAACTTATAAATTTGGTAATTTTTGTTTCAAATTATTTTAAATGAATCCATGTATGTTTCCTTCTTCTAAATCTTATTTCAGAGCTTCGCAATAGATGCAAGAGGGTCTCTTTTGTGAAGTTAATTGTAGCTGATATTGAAAAATTCATCACACTCTGCAACTGCAAACTAGCTTGGGTCCCCACTTTCTTCCATTTTCTCCTCAAAAATGTCTTCTCCACCTTCGGAAAGATGTTGCTTCCACCTCGCTCCCTCATTTAATCTGTAGCTAGGTTTTTTATGTGGGGCTGTTTCCCTCTTGTACAACAAAAATTGTCATTATATAACTGTTAACACACAAGTTCAGTTTTCATAAATTTTTATAAAAAAATAATAATAATAAATTTTTCATAAGTTTAAAAAATTATGTTCTCAAGTTTTTTTAAAAATATATAAAAACGTAAATTATTTATAATTTATGAGAAAAATTTTATTTTTTTATACTAATTTTTTTATAAAAATTTCTTTAAAAGTTTAATGAACCTGGGTCATATTATTAAACACTATATCTTGAACTTATTCATGTTGAGAGAATAAGGTCATCCGCGTATATTTAAAATTTTGGCTAATATATATATAAAAAAGTCAGTTTTTAAAAATAAATCATGAAAACACATGTTAATTAATTCAAATAAATTTTAAAAAATATTTGAAATTTATATGCCTTAATTCGAATTTTCAATTTAAAATATATAAAAATGTCATATCTGATATTTAAAAAACTGAATGAAAATAATTAATCATACTTTTTTTCATTTTTTGGTGGCCTGGCCTGTGTGGTCTCCAATGGTGATGGAGCTCATGCAAAGGCCTCCAATCCAGCCTGTCTAATTATGCCACCATATCAGAATAGCCCACTAGGTTTTGGATGCTTTGTTCCCTGCTCTTGGATTCTTTCATCTATTTTTGACATATAAATTTTATAAAAATATTTTTAATATGTTTTATATAATTCATTGGTGTTTTAAAAAGTGAAATCATAAATTTATTATTTTTAATTTTTTCAATTGATCAATTACAAAAAAATGTATTACAGAGTGTGTTTTAAAAAATTATTATTAAACATTGATTTTTACATAAATGGCATGTTTGATGTTTTCACACGGTTTTTTCAGGATTTTGTTAACTTTATTTTTAAAATTAAATTTAAGGATTCCTAAATAGTATATTTTATTAAAAAAATATTTAATAAAAAATAATCTCCCTTCGAAACGTTGTATGTCTAATTCAGCCAAATAAGTGTCCATTTACATAAAAGATTCGAGTCATCACAGCTGCAAAAATAACAAAACCTGATACACTTTTACCAAAATGGAAATATTCCTTTTTTTCTTCAGACGTAATTTTGGACCCCATGTAAACAAGACCATGGTTGTCGAAAAAACAAGAAGTAAAAAGTACAGTTGAAAAACAATTAGTTTAAAACACACAGTATCTCACTCAACTTTGTTCATTTGATAAATATACCGTGATTTCAATTTCGACAATCGAACAAAAAAATTGTTTTTTTATAATTCTGATAATTAAATATACTGTAATTTTGAATTTAAATTGTATTATAAACAATTTTGTATGTTCTTTCGTTTTTAATAGTTGAGGCATGGACACAATTAGCTAGTTGGGTGGAAAAACATTCAATATATCTGAACCCATCACCAGTCTTTAGCCAATCTAACCCTCTCTGCAAGTAGACATGCGTTGAGATTAGAGGCATGCAAGAGTTAAGCAAACGCATGGAACGGGATTCTCTCCCATTTTGACGCGATCTGAGTTCAGTTAAGTAAAATTTTATATTTTTGTTTAAACAAAAAAATTTAGCTTAAACAAAAATACAAAATCAACTTAACAAGACGTTCAGTTACGGGAGAGAATTTGAATGCGCAAACGCATACACAAAATTTGTATGCTGTCGTTGCAGCCACGAAGAAGTTCAAACTTAAAAACTCAAATTAAACAGGAATATTGAATTAAAAGGGATCGTAAAGCACAAGCTTATCCTTAATTTTTTTAATTTTCAATCAGAACTCATCCACATACACGAACTCACATCACAGTAACAAATTTGAATTAATTTCCATTTCACATAATTGCTTATTAAGAAAGTTGGTCATTAAGCACTATTCATTCTAATAGACCTGCCAACTTTATAGTTGCTTGTTGAATTTATTTTCCTATAGAACGTTGCACGTCCATCCATCTTTATTTTCTTTCTCACTTGATTGATATTTTATTTCATCGCATAGGCATCCAAGAAAAGTGAGGTTAGATAGCACAACAGACAGGGTAAGGAGTAGTTTTAATTATGATTCTATCGTTTTCACTAGACTGCTAAAGTATTCTACGTTTCTATTTCAATTAGGTCGTTGATTGTGTATAGGTCCCCTTTCTCATCATAGCAAGTTAAATTAGTTTCTTCATCTACTGAGAATAATTGAAGATAAACTTCTGACAAGCTTATCAAGACTTATCATCCAAGTATTAATTACTTTAACTCATTGTCACTTGAAACATTAATTAAGCAGAAAGAATGAAATTCACATAACAACAATTGAGTAAATTACTTTTTTAAATACAAATTATATGTCAATATACAATAATTGAATAAAATATTTTGTATTTTACAAGTCTATATATCAACGTATAAGTATGTAGAAAAAATTAATAAATTAAAATGTTAGGATTAGAGTTTACCCAATCCTCACCTAAGGACTATTTAGTTTCACAGAAGGTTTTCTTCTGCTTTCAATCTTAATTATGAAGTTATTGTTTTATCTTTTTATGTGACATTGTTTATTTTAGTTCATATTTTTTTTATTTCTTTCTTTAATGTAAATGTTATTTAAAAAGACATATACAAATATGTGAAATCGTATGGAATGGATTAGCACAAAAGGTGGAGTGTATGCATCTATTACAAATTTATAATAATGTGATGGTAGAATAATATTGCTGCATTTCGTAGTAGTGGACCCCAGAACATGTATGCATTGAATTTTTTATATTCTTTTCCCCCGAAAATGGATTGATTTTACATTTCCCTTAAAATGCTGATTGAGAAAATGGTCCATTATAATTAAGCACCCCTTCTTCACAATCAACGTAGCAAATGACCTAATATCTTTTTAGCAAATTACGCTGCATGTCAAATCACGGGTATATTTATATTTGTTCATATGTTCTCAATCATTTTGATATCAGGGTGCAGACGAAAACAGTGATCCTGCAAATGGGAACGGTCGAATACCGTAATGGTAATAGTTAACTTTGTTTAGATTAAATTATTTTGTGTTGAAAGTAATTTACAATTATTTAGTAAATTATTTTTGACCTAATAGTGATTTTTATTTTTGGCATGATTAATTAGTTTCTGTTTTTAGATCTTATTTCCAGTTGATGATGAAAAAAGAAATATTTGGCACACCCAAGTCCAAAATAAAATAGGTAATTTGTTTAGATAATACAAGAAGTTCAAATTTTATAAGTTTAATCATAAACTTATTAATAGACTAAGGGTAATAACTATAAACTAAATTTTTTGAAATATAGTATTATAATAGTGACCTAATATTGCATGAGACTAAAAGAGTTCATAAAATGCTTTATTTTTAAGAGTTAAAACTCATAAATATATAATAAAGTAAGCTACAATAAGGAAACTAGTGTAGTGACAAGTTTTTTAAACTACAATAGTAGAACAAAAAACTTCAGCTTATATAATATAAATTTTATAAACCCTTCATCATTAGCCCAATTTAAAAAGCTTAAACTTGTATACCAGCCTACATGTCTTTTTCTTTCTTCTTTCTAATTAGCTTTTCTTATTCCCCCTCACTGATTGGCTATATACATCCCTCAACACATCATCATGATGATAAGGTATAAATTCTGAATAACGCGAATACATTGATATTAGCATTCATGAAACATTGAAATCATGTCATACGCATTTAAATATTCAGCTTGACAAATATTTTATCGATATTCAATTCAACGAAGAAATCACGTAATTGTATAAATTAGTGCTAATTAATATTCTACAAAACTTGAATTCGTTTATAAAAAGATTAGTCGAAGAAAATGTATTTGCTTATCCCCTCAACAACAAAATTATTAATTGAAACTGAAGGTTATCATTA